AACAATTCCATTTTTATTAATATAATATGATGTATAAGTAAAAACGATGTAGTAATAAGGCTATCACCCTTACCAGTTTTAATTTTATGTTTAGTATAACATTCATATTTATATTTCAGTTTATTCTGCATGAGAGTTGCTGAGAATTTTTTTCCTATTTATCGTTGATTTTCGAGAAGAAATAAAAGAGGAATTAATATTTTGTGTAATACACTTCATTCGTATGCTCTCTCGTTTTACGGATCGAGAATCCGTATCATTGTCAAGTACCCTCATGTTATTGACAAACCATTTCACGAACAATGAAATAATCAATCACTTCGACCGTATATCGGTGACTTACTCTTCACTTCAAACAAGCATTTTGTAACATATTATATATGCTTACGCACCATCCAATCTCACAGTCCCGTTCGCCGAACTCAGTGGAAGGTGGACTTCGTGTCAACGCACTGGTGTTTACCTGTGTGGAACTGTGGAAACGTAAGAATATTTTCACATAATCTAAACAATAATCTGACTGCCGACTGGTATAAAACGCATCTGAGTGGTTTACAATACAGAAATAACCTGTAGCATGTTACGTCCAACACATAAAATGTAGATACTTCGATTCGGAAACTTGTAAGCCAGAAACTATATAAGCAAGCATTTTGGAATGGTAAATAATTTCTTACTCTGTTATTGAAAAAAAAATAATAATAAAACCGTTATGAAAGTTTTAAATTATGTACGAAAAGTTTTTCCTATAAATGTACGAAAAAAAAACCAAGTCAATGCTTATTCAACACACAAATTTGACTAGAATTGGTTTAAAAAATGTTTTTCACTCGGTTAAATTTACAATTCTAATTTTTGAAACCGCTTATACCTGAAGATTTTAATAGCTATTTATACACATTTAAAAGTAAATTAATGGTATTTAGCCTAGTAGCAAGACTTTAAGTTTATTTTATGATAATAAGCATTTTACTTTATTATAGAATGTACAATATACAATATTCGATAAAATTATGGTAATTATAAAATATAAAAACTGTGAACATTAGCATTTAAATTTTGTAAATTTTAATTTAATCAACGAAATATACAAAATACTTTGTCCTTACCTATAATGTGTAATTTTATATTAAATGATCAAACATACAAAAGTGTTTAGCAAATATATTATACATAACGCTGATTTAAGGTTAGGTACACCTATCSATCAAACTTTGCTTTAGCTATAAATAATATCTATAATTTATTTAATTTTGAAAACTATAATTCAGTTCTAAAAATATACTTTTACTCAAACTAAAATGTTAGTCTTAATATATTACCATTGTCTTTGAATATTATTGTTGTCATAACACTTAAGAAGTACCGATAAAGCCTTTGATAGAAAAAAAAAATTCTTTGAATATCATTTGATATTTCAAATTTCGTAAAAATACAAACACCTCATTTGTTGCCTACTTTCAGTGAAGTTTTAACAGAAATATATAATTGATAATAATATGTTAGTTTTACAAAATACATCTATTAATTTATAATTTTATTATTCGGTTAGTTAACTTTTATACTTTCATTCTGATTTTTAAGCTACATTTATAGTTTATAACGTAATCTAAAATTTAATKCATTAAATATATAAATCAATAATATAAACCAATACTCGATCACAAAACGATTGCAATTTAATTTGTTAATCGAATGGATATTAAAGTAATTAGGTATTTAAATGCAAATCAAAACTATCTATTGTGATAAAAAATTAATATTCTTCAGGCGTTTGCCAACAGCTAATATTTTCTGAATACGATAAAGAAAATGAATTAAATTATTTTTCAGACTTTTTTATATATTTATGTGTAAACTTGTGAAAATAAGAAATATTCTCTGAATATTCGATTTTACAATATCATACGACATACTGTGTTATGGAAAACTTAATTTACGTGTAATGTTTACAAAATACGATATAATTTTTATATTGAAATGGTAGGTACATAACACAAATATAGCCACATATATGACAAAATATAATTAAATAATAATGTTTTAATTTAAATTATTAAATTATGAATGAAATATTATAAATTATAATACTTTTAACGGTRATATTAAATATTTAAAACTACAAAATTCTATTGTTATCTACGATTATTACGCGTAATACAATGTTACCTACACTCATATTATAATATTATATCAGAAGATATATTTAATTGCATTTAAGTTTTTTGAAAAATTATAATACATTATAAATGATCATATAAAAATACGTTTTACTTTATAAAGTGATATATAATATAATGAAAATAAAATAAAAATCATTAACTATCAATAGCTTTATGTACTTTTTTCCCGTTATTTGGAACTTTTACACCAGACTTTATTTTATGTTTACAAATTCGATTTGTTCAAATTTCTATTTTTGGTTTTCATGTATTCTCTGAGTTATTTTGACCTTTGTATCGCGCTCGATTAGCACTGACAATAAATAAAAAATACTGCGTTGTAAATCACATTTAACATAATATCGAAGATATTGTTGTGGCAACTGAAAAACATAGAACGATACTACGATAGTGATTTATAGTATCACACACAACGTTATTGCAGAAGATTTTATTTTCATTTTCCACGGGGGTACAACCAAAGCGTAGCTATATTATAATAATACCGTTTTTTTGACCTACTCTTCAATGTACATCGTAACAAATTATTTGTCCGCTTTTACCAGGAAATTTTCCAAATCATTATTGCACAGATGAGATTTTTTTTAAATATATAATTTGTATTAAACGAACTGCCTCTATAATAAAACTGTTTCATTAAAGTCAAATAATAAACGTTGGCCATTGTGTGTAGAATAGTTTTCTTTCTCTTGAACATTTAAGGACATCGAATAGCCAGCGCACATCTTCGTAATTCCGCTTGAGATGTATATAACACAAAAAACTGAACGTGAAATACATTCTGCGTGGACTATATAGCATTTTTTTTTCTGCTGTATTTCTATATTGCTTGAAATTAATACTTTATTTTTGGAACATGTATAATAAATGACAGCAATATTCCGATAAAACTGTCAACAATATTATTTTTATTACAGACAAATCGCCAAAACGTTTTAAACGATAATTCCGTAATTAATGTAGGTTTTCGTACGTAMATCATTATTATATTTATACTGTATATACGTGGACAATGGCAGTAATAAATAACGAACGGAACAAACTACATTTTAAATAATTAATGTAAATTTTATAAGCCGTGAAATTTTGAGAAAGTATAATTCACATACGGTATCCTATCAGTTGACAATACACAAGCAACCATGTCAATTTACAATTTAATGACTTTCCTGGTAAATCTAAACAGAAAAAATGCACTGCACTGTAAAAACAAAAAAATTGACAAACTATTATTATAGATTAACGCAAAAATTTAAATAGAGCGCCTAGTTTTTTAAATCTAAAATTAYATTAAAATTTTAATTTTCATATAATCATTATATGACGATAAAAATAGCTTTGTATGTATTTATATGTCTTAATACGATTTATAAGACGTGGCAATAGTATGGTTTTTAAACAAAACGAAGCTTGGAAGTAGAAGACTTTAATAATATGTCAGATGTTAACTGAGACGTTGTAACAAAGTTTTCATTTACTTTCTACTACAGGATTTTAATTTATCCTAGTTCTAGAATCTAAAGTACCTATTATTATGCCCAATATTTTGTTTATAAGAACCTCCCTTCAATCGTATAATATATTAAGGTATATTTTTTGTACGTTATATTAATTTATTATGTTATTTAAATTTTTTATAGTTATATATTATAATTTATAACCAAAAATGAACCTTCAATATTTTTAATGTATAAGGCTTATTTAACATTTAACATTTATGTTCTAAAGATAAAACTTAATATAACATGAATTAGGTATATAATAGCCATGCAAAAAATAATGATATACAAGAAACCAACAATTTAAAATTATGATTTATTTTTGAGTGCAATGTCTACTTAAATATAGATTTTTAATTGGTTTGTATTTTTTTCAGAATATGTTGAGCCGAATCGCGATAACTCGAAATTGAAGAAGGGTAAAAATTGGGTTTGAGATACTTAACTAAAATTTATCTAAATTAAGCTCGTTGGAAATAGAAAAAAAAATCAAGTTATCAAAAATTGATTGTATAATTTTTTAATTTTCAATTTTATTTTTTATGTTAAACTTAAAGATATTAATTTTAATATATATAATATATAAATAAATATCTTTGAAGTGGGTATTTACATTCATTAGAATTTTAGAATTCATTATTATCTATTATGTATAGCAGGTATAGTTTTATCCTTTATAGTACGTACATTTTATTTTTCCAGCCAATATAATGTTTTGAATTCTCCTTTACAATAAATTTATTCTGAGTACATATTTAACATAAATAAAATAGATTGTCTCGCTGTTTGATGTACCTGTCTAAATAATTGAAAAATCAAAATTAGTTTATCAATTTGATATAATATTACATTTATGTCGATAAAATTGATTATTTCTGAGATATAATATTTACCTTTTGAACTTTTTTTAAAATATTCATTTTAAATTGAATGTTATTTGTAAAAAAAAAAAACATTGACAATATTTCATATTTTTTAATTTTTAATCATAACAATGCATTTAAACAAGAGCTTCTCTAATTAAATGTGATAGTTGGGTATTAGTAGATAATATACTCAATTTMTATATTTTTTCCAATTATATAATTGCGTAAATTAATTTTCAACTTTTTTTCTATAATCATTCAAACCATGACATGCAATTCATATTTATATCGTGCAAACTTATTATTATTATTATTATTATATTCAATTTGTAATACAGGTATGATAATAGTTGCGGTTTGGTAATATTATGTAATAACAAAAATTAAAAGACAATATTACTCGTAGACCGGACGAAGTTTTTATATTACCTATTAATTGATTTGAAACTCACCGTTAGAATAAAGGTGATAAGTTTTCGGTGGAGAAAAACGTGGGGTGGGGGAAATGTGAAATCGTTCTAAAAATCTCGTCGCCGTCGCCTACATGTAGAAATTATGCAGCAATAACAACAAAAATAACATTATTATTATTATTACGTCTGTTGCCGATTTGTGATGGGACAACGATGTCTGGCGAACGGACGAGGGTAGAGAAGAAAATTCCGACGTGGAAACGCGAAACCGTGGTGGCGTCGGCCCAACAACACCCAACGTGATCACGGCAAACCGTCGCGACGTACACTGAGCGCGTCCCCGTGACAGCGTGCGCTGATATAAGGCCTTCGCGCGCACGCAAACACACACACACACACACAGACAGATACACATACGTGAAAAACACACACACACACACACACACACACATAGACGATGACGACGGCGGCGGCAACAACGACGATGACGACGGAATAGCGTAATCGTTTTTTCCCTACTTTGCTCCGGCACAAGCGGCCCCTATTTTTCCTCCGTCCGTCCGATCTTCTCCGCGAACGGCGACTATTTAAAACTGACAATGCGACGCGCCGGATGTCATTATGTTTGTCTATGTGTGTGTAATATCAGTTGTAATATTAGTAGTAGTAGTAATATAGTAGTAGACAGTATAATAGTAGTAGTAGTTTTAGTAGTAGTATAGTTATAGTCATATGTTCACAGTGACCGTGTCGTGTTTGTTTTGTCCAAACACTCTTTMAACCGGCTCGACAATTGATCAACACCGTACAACGCGTTTGGTCAAAATCGATCGACATTTCTAGGGCCATTTTTCTAGGTGTATAGCATATTATGTTATTGTTGTTACGATATTAATAAGTATCGAAGTATTTTTTATTYWTTTWTTTTTTTTATAGATGGGAAGGGGGTGGCAGGAGCATAGTGATTTATGGGGCTAAATCCCCACTTGAAGAAATATCTCAACAGTTTGTAGCAGAGAAATGTTTTATGAATTAATACTGCTTGCTTGTTTCAGAAATCCCCAGTAATTGTCTGAAATATAAATGTCGACTAAGTGTATAATTCTCGCAACGTAATAAATTAACTACAGTCAGATAATATTAATCATATTCTCCATGGTTTTACTCGTATTTTTTGTGCATGCCCCAATTTAATAATCAAACTACTACAAAATCCAAGACCCTGGTTCAAAAAGGGTTTGAATTTTTCGCACGACACATGCAATGACGACAATATACGATATAGCTGACTTCAAGGTATCCTATATAGGTTGTACTCGGTGTCTTTAGTTKCATAGGATTTTTATACAAATATTCACTTTTTTCGTTTTTAAATTGTTCCGTAAACGTGACACATACGTATACGTATGTACACATTTCAATAGGGGAAACCAAAAATGTAATATACCAATATACTTTAAACGGTATGAACCTAAGTACGTAATATGTTAATCGTTCGTCACTGTAAATACGCACATTTGGCACTATCAAAACTTCGAGATTTAGAGCTAAAAAGTGTAGGTAAATCAATCATTACTGAGTTTCGACAACAGGAAAACAAACGATATCCGARAGCAAACAACTGGTCGTMAGTATTTGTTTAACACATTTTTTTCTTAAAATAGACACGTAATTATTTTACTGTATGTATCACTTATCGATAAAACGTTTACAAAAATAAGTAAAAGAGATCCGATTTATGTCATTAAATGTWTTTTATTTATTYATATATGTTGCATTGTTATTAAGACTCCGTTTTAGAATATACGACATAATACCCTAAATTTTTAATAGTTAAGTTTTAACACAATATAGTATAATTAACAATGCCGGCAAATCGGAAAATTGTGTCACCCACTTCTTAGTAATGATATAACGATAATTATCATACCGGCTGACATAATAATATAATAGCCCACACCATACCTAACAATATTAATATTAAAAACAGACATTTTAATTATTTGACTTCAATTCTTTTTTACTCGGTTATAGTTTTATAAATAATCTTTTTTTCCTATCTAGCGTGCTGTTTATCACACTACCTTTTTTTTCACGTTTTAACTTTTAAATTCCTACAATTATATTTTCATCCGGTCATCYTTTTATAATTTGTAATATATTATGAAAGTCCACTATTTATTCATAATTAATTAATTAATACTCGTATAAATAATATACTAGCTAGTAGCTATGCTCTCCYGTACACAATAAATCGCTTGCGCATACATAACATACAAATACATTTCATTTTTATTTTAAGTTTACTCCCTATAAAATAAAATCAGAATGTTTTTCATATGTTATATTATGATAGTTGTAAAGTGTATCAAGTACCTACCCGTATATTGCTATAGAAATACATTACTTAGGTGACTATTATCTATAATAATAGTATGGCCAATAATTCGGGTATTATATAATAAACAAGTAAAATATAAATCTTAAGAAACCATCTACAGCATTATGGACATATTTTTTGTCATAACAGTATTATAAATTTACCTTGACAACATTTTCAAACATTGATATTTGTAGGATGACGGTAAAATTAAAAAAAAAAGTTTTAAGACTAACTTTAAAATCTTCAAAATCAAATCAAGCAAAAAATCCTAATATACCTGTCGTTCAAAAAACATTAACCTACGAAAGTTAATCACTGTATGATTTAACATCATATAATAACCGTGTTCTGATTAGCGAAACGAACTTTTTGGCTTTGTAGTTTGGGTAGGTAAATGGTAAGAAATCAGATGTCTAAATGTTATAGAACTTTGCCATTCAACTGGTCAACATAATAAATGATATTGAAATAATGTGATTTCTTCTTATACTATATAACGATGAAACTACTTGTAATTTTAACGTGTAATATATCTTTCCGAATAAATATAAAATAATATTAGCAATATTAGTACCATACTTTAGAGCAGCGGTTCCCAACCTTTTTAGCAGGAGGTGCYCTATTGTTTGTACAAATTTTGTTGGGTGCCCTTCTGTGAATATCACGAGAAACGTGATAAAAATAAACACTATTTTTCATTTATAACTGATTTAAATAATTTTATTGAATATATTATTAATAAATTATAATTTCATTGTTGAAATTAAAAAAAAAAATTCTGTTTTAATAGTGAAAAACTAATAATTAATGAGATATTTGAGGCTGCTTATTTTTGGAAAGTTTGGCAATGTTTTTATCTATTATTGAATTATTTGACACATATTAGAAACACTATATTTAATATTGGATATACAGATAGTATTCCAAGTATKTACGTAAAATAATTTTTTGTCTTTTCAACTGCGATAAATTTTTACTTTTTAATATATAATTTAATAATTTTTTTCATTCTCGGATGAGCCGTGGTGCCCCTTAAATGAGCTCGTGGTGCCCTTAGGGCGCCACGGTGCACAGGTTGGGAACTGCTGCTTTAGAGGTTCTTAGCTTAYCTCCAACCTTGAGCTTAAGCAGCTCATTAAACATTTATACCGCAAGGCGTTTAAATCGTTAAGCTTCATTATTACTTATTAGGTTACCTAATGAACTAAATCTACATATGTCTACTAGTGTTCTATATTGTATACTTATTCGCCCCATTCTTGAGTATGATGGATGTATTTTTACAAGTTGAGCAATTCCAGAATAATTTTTTATGTTTTGATTGTTATATTTTAAAAACGYACTGTTTATATCATGATTACTCATCGGTAACTAATTTGATTGGCCTTTCCTCATTGGTTGAGCGAGGACGACACTGGTATTGAATTTACTAAAGGACTGTTAAACAACAAAGTTGGATTCACTGATCTTGTTTCGCTAATATGCTTTAAGAAACCTAAGTTTCACTAGATCCATCCCTCCTTTTTGTATCCCTCATACCACCACAAACTATTTAGCTAACGAGCCAATGAGAGGGATGATGGTAAACAGCAAAATGTGGACCCTAATTTTTTAGTTTTAAAACTTTATTTTTATTTTTATATAGAATTAATGCATATATATTTGATTGCGTATGTACTTAATTACCTTTATAATTAACTTTTWATAAACATTATGTAAAAAAGAATCTCGCCCGTCTAATAAATAAATAAATATTACATAATTATGATATGTATTACTGAATTTCAGAGTCCTGAATAAAATGGTCAATAAAATCTTAAATTTAAATTAATTATGTTAATATCTGCTTAAATATAATAACCATATTCTCGTATTGACTTTTAACCTAAAAATAAATAATTATTATTACTGTGTATGATTTTTATTTATATGGTACGAAAAGCTAACAATTGATATAATGTTGAAATGCTAAATGGGCGACAAATTATAAAGCTGACAAATTATATTGGTTAGYATRAAAAAATTGATTTTATCTTGATGGATAGGTACATTTTACAGTACAATACATAAGTTACACTATGTGACATTTAAAAAAGAGTGACTTGCAAAATCCTGCTAAATTATGATATAATTAATCAGTCGTTAATTTCCGGAAACACAAGATCTGATTGCCGTAATCATATAAGATATTGTATTAATAATTCATGTTATTTGGATTATTTGGATTATTTGAATTCAGAATTGTGAAATACTTTCAACAGAAATTAWACTGAAATTCCCATGCAGGTATCTAAGTACCTACTTACCTACAACTAGAATAATCATGATTATTGAGCGTTATTTTATTACGATAATTTAAAGTAAATAGGTATATCATATTATATTATATAAAATTTTTTTTATCGAATCARCCCAATTCATAAAACGTATATGCAATTTTCAACACGTTTAACTACAATTATTTTGTATCTTACCGAAATGATATAACAGCTAGATATTTTCAATTTAGTATTCAAAATACGATTCAGAACGTATTAATAATAATATTATTAAAACAAATTGTTCATTGATTTTTGAGTTATATTAATATTTTATTTTACAATTTTGTCTGAAAATAATAAGTGTATTATAATTATTAAAAACTCTAGAAACAGTAGAAAGAAAAATACAATTGCCAAAAATACCTAAATGCGTATAATATAAAATACCTACAATGAGACAAATGCTATTTTTGTGAAATTAAAAGATCAAAGCATACAAAATGATTTATATTTTATCATAAAGAATAGTATTAMACAATAGGTGGCTTCTTAAAAYCTTCAAAATATCGTTACGATATAATTATAAATTATTCCAATGTAACATTGTAACATTTTAGTATTAAAAAAACTCCCTTTAAAATTCACATAATCAATAAATTCAA